GGTTAGTTTCATGCGAAAAGCGTCACTTCCTTCTCTGCTGCTTTGCATGTTGAAAGTGCCATGCGGTCTAGCTATTGCTCAAACCCCATCCTTAGACCATTCACTCGCCTACGAGGTGTTGAAGTGGCAAGTGGTAGGTCTTCCACGCGTAAGATTCGGGGATCAAATCCACGACCTGTTCTCGCTTAGGCCAACCTAGCCTTCTACTTCCGGGGACGGTAAATAGCTCCAATTCGTCTGGGAGGATGAGAACGTTCAACTGTATATCGGCTGGCCCCGCAAGTCATTGTATAGGCCACATCGCATTCAGTAAGCCACTACGATTCTGAATGGAAGTAGAATGCATGATGCATCCCTGAAAAGGATTGTTTGGCGAGGACTGAGACTTTATTCTTATATCCGTTATCACTCGCATATATACAGTATTCGATGACCACAGTGGCCTCTCATTCAAACTTGAAATATAATGGCTCATTCCCTCTCCTTTGACAACCCCCTCAGGTTAAACGTTGGAACTTGCCGCTGGTGGAACAGTTAGGGATTGAACCACTTATCAAGACTGTAGATTCCTTGAAAGTTCCTGGGACGTGTTCCGGCTAACCTAACACGATATGCCGCTTGACCGAGAGTGTGTGTGGGATTCTCCCAGCCATTTTAGACTCTTGGAAATTTCGATTCACTGGGAAAGTAGAGCAATGACTAGTTTTATTCTAAAAAACCTTTGAAAAAGCCATATTTGCTTGCGCACGCTCCGAAAGACCAAGCTTGAACTACCACGCTATCGTTATATTATTCAGGATTAGCACTCACTCCACGGAAAAACTTATTAATATTGGAGAAGATAAAGGGATTCTGGACTATTTGCATCTATGAAGGCAAACCTAGAGCCACGGTATGTTTAGGTGTATTTGTTTGGAAGCGTGTTCATACTTCACTTGAGCACTTGTGTGCGCGACCCATCGGATCGCGAAGTATGAACGCGCTTTAATGAAATTTATGAACATCCTGCTTCGTGGAGCTTGTGTTTTGTCAGTGCGTGTTTGTGAGCTCTTAGTGTTTTTTTTTCGCTGGTGTTAGCTGCAGCTTCGTGTTGAAGACGAGAAAGCTGCCTTAGCTGACGAAGAGAAATCCACTTGTAGATCACAGTACCAGTTGTCCGTCGCTGTATGCCAGCGGTACTGTTTTGAATATTTTCTGTTTTGAAGCTCGTGAACTCTGCTCATTATCCGAAGATCGAGAACGGATTGCCGTCGTTCCTTGACGTACATCGTGATCTTCTTATAATCACCGATCTAGGTATGGTTTCTTATTACTCCTTTCCCGATTGGTTTACATCCAAAAACAACTATAGATTAGGGTGTCGACAGTCAAAGGCGCGCCGCGCATTCCTTCTATGTTCAGACACCCCTTTGGTCATGGTGGGTCTAACGCATGGAAGAGATGCGGACTACATTGTGCTCAAAAATACGCGAGGAAAGCCCGATCCGAAGTAGCGCCGAGGTTGCGGCTCCGACCACTGGCCACGGAAACGCCCACATTTATTTCTGAAGGTTTCCTCGTGGTGCTCCGCGGGATGAGAATGATGTGATAAGGGAAAGGAGCTGACACCAAGAGATAAGACTTCGTCCAAAAACTCCCTTTCTTGGCTTATGCTCATCGCGCAAGCGCGTTTAGCATGAGGCATTTGCAACGTTTTTTTTTCTCCGTTTTTTTTTTTCTTCGCTACAGTGCTTATTCCCACGCTGTTAATAGTACTTGAGCCCCGCAACTCACAGTTTCTGGAAGCGGGGCGTGCTTTTGACTCCGCATTGCAGTAGGGCTGCATTCATACCTTACGATCACATAGTCGTAATCGCATTTTAGGGAAGTATGCTGCGAACTTGAAATTTGTATCGATCCGATCTTATCGAGAATTTTGATGACGGATCGATTCGTATCCAATCTTTAAGGGAACTCACCGAAAGGATTGATAATCCTGAGTTTTTACCAGCTGTTGTCGCATATCCGCTTCAACAAGTGGAAGAAAATAGGTTGAGCGCCGTGGCACACTCATTCTGCCTGACAAGCCCGTCGTCCGCAGCGTACTAGAATACATACTACAGTTCTCGTAACGAAATCGCTGAAATCGTCAGGGTCGCAAGCTGTGAAGGCAGCCTAAGGTATGAATGCAGTCCTTGTAAACAGGCTCACTGCCGTGAAATTCGTACCAGAGCCTAAGACGTTGCAGTGCTGCATTCGGTCAAGCCAACTAGCTAGGAAGTACTGTTAGTTTGCTCGTAACAACATCTAACTAGCGACTTATATCCGAATATATAATACTAAAGTCGAGCCGTTCAACACGTTTTTTTTGCAGGAGCGCAGTCCTTGGTACGATTTTCTATCGATGCCAAGACAGACAACTTGAAATATGAGGAGTGTGTATTTCTGGGAAGCGGTCCCAAAAAGTATCTTTTCTCACTTTTGGAACTGTTTTGACTGTAACCCGAAGTTTATTTTTCTGCGGCAAAATTTTTTTAGTCGTGGGCACGTTGAAATAAAGTACATCAGTGGAGTGTTCATTGACGACGACGAAAACGTCCTTATTGCTGATGCTAAGGGTCACTCATTACAGGTATGGTTGGGTTGTTTGTGGTTTCACATAGAATCGAAGACGCAGAGCTTCAGCAAATGCTAAATGTTTTGGTCGTAATGAGCTGCCATGCTAGTCGCTTCCATCCCAGTTTAGTGCTTTGCTACATTGCAGTAGATGCTAAATGCATTAAAGAACTGAGCCGAGCTTCTCTGACGGAGAAAAGCGGTAGCTGCCATATAATGTCAGGAGCTCACCTTGTTTGCATCGCTCACAGGGGCTGTGGTCATTATTTTTAACAATAAAATATAAAAACCATCGTTGGTCCATCTCTTTTTGGAATGCGGATCATTCGACCTCCATCTAGAGTCGTAGTGGCTTATTGTATGGGCCATAAGAGCGCGGGAGGCGGTTGAAGTACAAGTCAGTGTTTCCATCGCCAGACGAACCTTGTACAATTTACGGTCCCCAAAGGGTAGAAGGCTCGGTTGCCCTGGTGAGAGCTGGTCCGGAATGGGCAGTTGCCATAACACCGTCTGCTCCCTTCAATAAGTCATTACTGCTCATACTGTTAAGTCCGTGTATATTCTTTAACGCTCGCATTTTACTTAAATTTGCAGGTATTTACTAGTAAAGGTGTATTTCTTCATGCAGTCAAGGTCGTGAGTGGTGGCCTCCCTTACATCAGTAAGTTTTTTTCCAAGGTATATTCGAATCATGATTTTTTGTGACGACATTCCAAATGTGAGTGTTGTAGGTGGTCTCTGGGTCAACCGAAATGGTTACATTGGAGCTTGTCCACGAGCTGAAACGAATGGTGGACTGTACGTCTATCGCATCATCGTGCCACCACAGACAGACTACAAAATCCCATCTTTGAGGTCCAGAGCATCTTGAAGCTGCTCCTCAGCTACCCTCATCTTGTAACCACGACATGATAGGTTATTTGCTGGTATTGTTTCGTTTTTCTTAGCCTATTTCGAAGCCTGACGTTTCGACGTAACCCGCGCGAAGTGTACGGGGATTACCCGATTGCTATGAGCAGACAACTAACAAGAAGCTAATTTTTACAGCGGATCATCTTCAGCTTCATTTTGCTTTTTATAAGCTTTGGCTTGGAGCAGGTTTCGAAACTGAATGTGTACTTGTATGTTCATATTACCCGGTTGTTTTTTTATAATGCCTTGTTGTTTTTGTTAATATTGTTTCGTCAGTATTGTTCGAGCATAATAGCATTGTTGAAGAGAAGTAGCAAGGTAATGGTCAGTTTTTCATAATAGTTACACAATAGGCACTTTGTTCTGATGTTAGCATAAGTTTTGTTTTCTACGTTTATGCTTATGTTGATTGAGAAGACATTCTTTTCTTTATTATACAGATGAATCTTCTTTTGTAACTCTTGCTTAACATTTCCGATGTCACCAATCGACGCTTCCTAGCAGCCGTTTATTCACCCACCATTGATATTGAAGTAGATGGAAAACAGCTATCTACACTCTAGTTTAGTTACCTGTAGATGACGGGGCGTGTCAGGCAGTGTGAGTGCCACGGCGCCGAACCCTTACTCTGTCGGTTTTTTAAGGCGGCTATGCGTCAAGAATAGGTATAAAACGAGTGATGTGAACGATGACCCGGTCTTGTCACTTGCCCTCTACGACTGGTGGAGAATGAGTCTGGCACCGCTCTAAACTCATGTTGCTTGACACGCCCCGTCGTCCGCAGCGAACTAGACTATGTCTTTTCCGCCTTCATGCGTTTCTTTATTAGTGTCACACCGTAGAAAGAAATTGTGAACTAGAAGGACGACAGTTTGCGTCCTAGTCCAATGAAAAAGAGCTTCATAGTGGTTAGATTCCGGAGTTCACCATCGTTCGTACCTACCAACGCTGGGCGCCGTAGAAAAGCCGGAGGAAGGATTGTACGGCAGACGTATTGCACAAAATAGTCCTCTATTACACTAGGGACCCAGCTATGAAACCGCATTCATTCACACTATCACCAGATGTCGGCAAGAAAGCTACTCTGCCACCTTTTGTCCCAAGATATCAGTTAACGTGAAGTTTCCTCCGTCCGTCTTTTTTCTCCTCTTCCTCCTTTTCCTTCCTTCTGTCTTACTTTCCTTCCTTCGACTAAGCGGCCAGAAGATGCAATGACGAATACCTTTGGTCTTGCGCAGTGGGAGAACATCCCGGTTGACAGGCGGTTAACTTTACAATCTGTAACATTAGGCGTCAAACGATGTGTCCTGCTGCAGAATGCACAAACTGTCCCCTATCGCACACAGCTGCATCTGTATCAGTTTTTCTATTATTATACCTATGGCTCTCGTCGAGTTTTTATAGCATTTGCGTAGTGAAACTGGGCGTGCAAGTTGTGGCCGTCGGTTCACAATGGTTAGGTTCTATTCGTAATACACCAGTAATTATTGAGCATAGAGTTTAACTGTAACTAGGATAAGTCAGGTTTGAAGGGCAGATCTTTGCGGGTTTACCTCTCATACATAACATTTCCATGTGGAGATGAAGAAGAACGAAGAATTCCTTGGAGGGCGGGCCATTTTCGCATGCGCCGTTCAATCTGCTTCCCTCGGAAACGTACTGCATTTGAAAGGTATTTGACCATAATGACATTCGAGAGGCAACCTACCAGCAACACTTGTTCTTATGCTTTCATGCGCGTTGAGTATCAACTGACTGACTCCAGAAAATCCACGGCTGATCGGTACCCTGTCCAGGAAAATAAATTATTGCGCGGCCAACCATTACCACTGGTCACTCACTACCACGGTCTCGATGGGGATAGTTGTAGTAGAGAATTTACTGAAATGACCAGATTGCTGACAGCTCATTTTCAGCAAAATGCAACTCCTAAAATACAGTTGTGATGATTATGGAAGTTATTGTAGCGACGCTGGTGTATACCGACATGCTTGTTCATGTCATGCTCATGAATTTCTGTGTGTAGAGCTGTTTTAGTTTTGATAACTGCTGTTTAACGCCGCAGTGCGCGCTCCGTAAGTTATCACAAGAATGCTGAGATATTGGCAAAAGTCGGACCCGGGACGGGACTTGAACCCGCATCTCCTGCTTACCGGGCGGTTGCGTTATTCACTACCGATATCGGCTAACCGGCTCATCACGTTGAACGTGTGAGTGCTGTAAGGCTATGGCACAAAATGCCATTGAGCTGAGAAGGCAAAGGAGGCCCCGGTAGCGTAATGGATAACGCAACCGCCCGGTAAGCGGGAGATGCGGGTTCAAGTCCCGTCCCGAGTCCGACTTTTGCCAATATCTCTAGCTTGTGTGTGTAAAGTGTTGTGTCGACACTTTACTAGTTCTTCAGGGGTACGTATGTACGTGAAACTGGTTTTCATTGCTTTCGCTCCTCATAATGTTATTATGTGCGGCATCGTTTTGGTTAGCAAATGGTGAGACTTCCAGCGAAACAGTTTTAATCTGCAGAAATTGCGTAAATTATACATCTTTGTCATCTTTATTACAGTTCAGCGCGTGTTTTTTCATTTCCCCATGCAACTCTCTTCAGGAGGGGCAGTCATACTTTTAATTTCGTCTTTTCACATCAGATTAATACCTTTCTATGCTCTTGGTCAAAGTTTTTTCAAATAATTCTACAGTCATCAATCGGACATTTTGTCAATTAACAGTACGTGCCTGCCATGTCATGTCGAAAACAAGACACTTGGTTTCCTGCGTTTCACGCATTCTGCTTTACCAGTTGCTCGAAGACGCTGTAGTACTACCGGAGAGAAGGGCCCTCATCAGCAAGGAGTCCCAGCTCATCAGTGCACGCACGGCGCGGGCCACACACGCCACACGGCCAGCCATGCGCGTTACTATAGCTTCACATGCTGCTGTTTGCGTAAAAAATGATGATGGGTAGGTGGGTAATTAGAGTGGAGTTAGATATTGACCGATACTTATCCCATCCCTTATTCTACCCTTTTGCGGATTTTTCAATTCTACAGATCTATACGGATTATTTATTACTCGTTTGTTTTCCGATTTCCAGTGCACGGAGCACGAGTGTCAAGATGTATTGACAGCATCAGCCCTTCCCTCCGTTCTGTGGTACTTCTTCCATTTCTGGCTTCTATCATATTAACATTGAATTCGTTAGCACAGCATTTAAGTCTAGTTCGTTGCGAACGAAGGGGCGTGTCGGGCGGAATGAGTTTGGCGCGGTGCCAAACCCGTTCTCCACAGTTGTTGAAGCGAGCAAGTGATAAGACTGTATCACATCGTTCGTATCACTCGTTTTCTACCAATAGTTCTCGTGTACCTGCTTCGGCAACTGTCAGACATCCACATACTGCCTGACACACCCCTTCCCTTGCCCACTAGGGTATACATCACATTGTTGTCATATACCTCGGTTATTTGCTTTGCTTGTCGTTTCGGAGGGAGGGTCATCGTTTCCTTTATTCTATTCGATGCACCTGAGATACAAGTTAAGTGAAATGTGAAATTATCCAAAAGGAGCGTTTTTCCTGCATTTCAGAAGACAATGACCAAGTGAAGAAAGAGCAGCAGCATGCGGCCTTATCGTCGTGCTATTCTCGCTATGGTAGCACTGTGCTCATTTTTCTTAGTTGGAAACTTAACTTTCTTCAGGAAAAGCTCTTCTACGGAGCGTGGTGAGTTCGGTTTATACTCTCAAATTACTGGTTATCTGTTAGTATAGTGTAGTCAGCTGTGGACGAGGGGGCGTATTAGGCAGTGTGAGTGTGCCACGGCGAGAAACTCGTTCTCTGCAAATTGTTCAAGCTGGTACGCGAAAACAATCAGTAGAAAACGACTGATACGAACGATTAAATACAGTTCCCACACTTGCTCTCTTCAGCAGCTGATGGAAAACGGGTTTGGTACCGCACCAAACTCATCCCGCCTGACAAGTCCCTCGTCCCCGGCGAACTACAGTTTAATCACCTCCGAGAAACAAGGCGATTACTATGTTTATCAATGTTCTAGTTTTAGCGCAGGCGAAATCTGCTGGTTTATCTGATGAGCTTCCAGAAACCAGGGAGCTTCCGGCTGTACACGAAGGTTTGTCGCTGTTATTCCGAAAACAAAATTTCATTTATTATAGCACACACGCTAGCAGTGCACAATCAATTCAGATAGTTGTTCTTATGATCCGTCGTGTCCGCCTCCTCGGATTCTCTTCCGTTTACATGCAGAAACCGCTAACTCTCCTCCATTTGCCTGTCTGAATGACGTGAGGTATGCCCTACACTCGTGGTTCATTTGATATTCTTTCCATTACATCTTTGATAAGGTTATTTGATGGGGAACACCTCGAGAAAGGAGTGAATCTCGTTTCTCTGAATGGTTCTTCTGGTGATGTGGAATCGTCTGTTTCATTTGATGTGGCAGCTTCAGATGGCGAGCTAATCAACTGGTTGAGGTGATCTCACGCCTTCCCGTACTTTCTTTAAATCTTATTTCTATCACTGCTTATCCATGGCCGCCAACTCTATTTTCCAATATTATTTCCAAGTTTAGTCCAACTCGAGTAGCGAGATCACATTCGATTGGAATGAGCCTCTGACGCACTCTGCGGGCACCGGTGCGCTGAAGCAGGTCACTCTCGCTTCCGCTAACCAATAAAGCTCATAACTGAATAGATACTGGTGCGCTGAGAAGAAAATCGCAATCCTTTTGCATGGTGATATGTACTCTAGTTCGCTGCGAATGAAAGGGCGTGTCAGACAGTATGAGTGTGCCACGGCGCCAAACTCGTTCTCTGCCAGTTGTTGAAGCGGGTATGCGACAACATTCGCTAGGAAATGAGCAGTGCGAACGATATAATATAGTGCTGGTACCTTGCTTCAATAACATGGTTCGGCAACGCGCCAAACTTATCCCTTTTGACACGCCCTCTCATCCGCAGCGGAGTAGAGTATATGTCACCATGCAAAGGATTGCCATTTTCTTCTAGCGCACCAGATCACTTCTGCGAGTTTCTAGCTAATCTGGGTGCTCCGGGGTTTACAGTGTCTGCGAAAGCTGTTTTAATGCCCAACGAATCTGATATTTATGCTAGATACATTTTCAGTCACAACAAAGTTCTCAGATGACTGATTGTGTAGAGGTGGATGGCCATGTGAAGGTACCGCATTTCTTACAAGTTCCTGTATTGTTTAGATCGTTGCCGCCGTCCTCGCTTATTGTTGGTGTGTCCTTTGGTGATGTTGCGGAGCGAGTTTCTGCAGACGCTCGCGCAGCTCTGGCATCATTTGGTGCGGTGAAGGTGGCTGACTGGAGGGGATCATCGTCGTATGCAATACTAGGTCAACATGGGCTACAGCAGCACGCTTACGAAGTTGTAAGTTCATAGAGTGGTTTTTTAGTTCCACGTGTAGCCACCATTCTCCACCCGATTTACGAGCTCTTCGCAGGGACTCCTTAGGTAGACGATGCGGAAGTACGTAAACGCATACGCATACGGAAGTTGCGCTTCATTGCTCGTGTTATGAATCAATGTTTCGTTCAGATATCGTGAACTATCTTTCAATGCCACACTTCATTCACTTTGCTACGTTTTTCTCATTCTCGTTTTCCTTCAAATTTCTTTTCATCTCATTTTTAAACGCTGTTCTTCATGCGTCTGTTGGGCAGCCTTCAGGCTTCGCTACGACGTGCCTCGGCGCGCTGCTGCGCCCTGTAGTGCGCGTCGATGCGTTACAACTGCAGCGGCGCTCCAAATCTCCAGACAGGAACGCAGCCGCATACGATCGATAACAGTCTGCGTTACTGAGCAAGACCTACTATTCTTTTACCCCATACGCTTTTAAAACGGCGCCCATCGAGCCGGTGTTCACAGACGAAAATTGGTTGTGGCGGCCCTCTACGGCTGCGTTCGCGTCTACAGCTTTGGAGCGCTGCTGTAGTTATAGCGCGTCGAAGTGCGTTACAGCGTATTACAGCGCGTTGTCGCGCTTTATAAAGCGTCAACGCTCATCATCGTGAAGTCTGAACGAAACCTTAGCACCATTCCTCGAGAAGTCAGTTGTAAGCTGTGGCTGGCCCGTGGGTAGACCAGTTTCCATCTCTTCTGTTATGAATGAATTCGATAGTTTCCTTTTGTTGACGTTTCGGCTTCAAAGGTCATCTTTACCCGGTAGAATGGTAAAAGGTAGGTAAAGGCTCTGGAAGGTTCGAATTTCCACAACAAGTCATGATTGCATTTTACTGAGACTGTACTCCTTTTTGTCTAACACTGTCCTTACTGTCTGAGCACTCTGTTTACTATCGCTTGCAAGACGTTTCGCTCTCTCCATAAAGGCTGAGGTATATTCGTATCAGAAGAACAACATCGCTTTTATATGCTAAAATACCGCCTCTTTTATTCCTAGAAAAAAGGCTGGCGCTCAAACAAGATGAGATAGCCGATGTAGCGCTGAAACAAAACCATGGCGAAGCACGTCAATTCCGTGCAAAGGCCGCATAGGCTGAAATTACGTTCAGACTTCGCAGCTAGGTTAACCCGCTTCTTGTTTATCTAGGACAACATCGAGTCGAATGCTCACGAAATAAGTGATTGCAAGCAACTTCATTGGTGCTTTTCTGGTAGCGGCAATCTCACCTACGTTCAGGTTGTTCCACAGTCATTCGATCATGGTGTGCATGCAATCGAAGGCTGTTTCGATGTACCTCTTGGGGATGTCCGTACGAATAAACATGACTGAAGAGCTGTCTGACATACAAAGGTTGGTGGAAACCTACACCGTGATGTTTCAGTCTTTTATCGGAGTCTCTGACGCGCTCGCTTTGATATGTGTGTCTAACTCACTTATGAGGGAGAAAAACGCTTCACTTATGAGGAAGAAAAAAAAACCTCTTTTTTGCACAGATAGGATTATTACTAGTTCGAGGAAGGGGCTCGAGGGTCGGTGCTGATAGTACCGGACGCAATCGTTGTCATCATTAGAAAAAAAAACGAAGGAATATGAACGAGTGGTACTAACATTAAGTGTATTACTCTCCAGATTATGGGCAAGTACTTAAAGTTCAAGCAGTATAACAGAACTCTCCCGCCAACCTAATAGTTTCGTCGATGGCGTGACTGTTCATTATTATTATATTTGCTTTCTGACAGAGAGCCAGGAGTGTCTCTGATAGAGAGCACTCAGAACATCAGAGGAGATGAATTTACTATACTCACTTTCAACTGCTGAGTGTCGCGGATTTAGATTTCTCTCACACGAGTCACTTGTATGGCTTTGGTCGTAGATTTCCAATGTTTAGGATTGATCCTGAAAAAATGGCTGCCCTTGGCGGTGGCTCGAGAAATGCTGATCAAAATGTAGAACTTGGACCAGAATGGAAGTGGTGTGGAATGGCTGCACCTTGTGGTCCTGGTATGTTTTCCAAGCTGCCTCTTAAGATTCCTAATTCCCTGAATACTTCGTAATCATTATGAAGAATGTCGCGAAATTCAGATGAGATCTCGATGCATTTTTTCACGGGCGAACACAAGGACGATTGGCCTCGTTTATGTGTAGGTGGCCGCATGGTCTTCGATCACGGCTTGAATGGTGCCGGTCGTGGTCTGAATTTGGTGTCAATTGAGCCTAAGACTGGCCGAGTTTCATCAGTGGCGCATTTCGACACTTACCAAGATGGTATATTCTTCACATTTATTCATCGCTTAATGACTGGTAGTATGAGGTTGTCCCGTAATTGTTGTCCGTTTTTCTGTTCACATCCTGGCTTTTCTCCCCGAGCCGCTCGCTTCCTCCCTCAGCTCTGGTGCTGAATCGTCAGTCGTTTCGATTTCCCGACCCAGGTACACATAGCTGGAGCATTCCGAGATGTTCGCTTCGTAGAGCGATGGTGGGGGCATCAGTCGAAGACTTTCTTCAAGTCGATGAGCGTGGGACATAACGGTGACGCATCTTGTACTGTCGCGATACTTCAGTCAGCTTTGTTACCATCTGGTGATCGATAGTGCTGAATCCTCTTTGAAACCTTGTTTGCTTGCATTGCTGTCCTATCTACTATTTTCCGATCGTGTTAATGGTGACTCGTGTGAATTTGTAGAGTAAAGGCAGACTAATGGCTCATGACTGGGCGATCGGTTACTATGCCTTGCAGGTCTCCCTGCATGTACAACAGCACACTCCTGCTGGTTTCCCACGAGGGCGGTGCCTTGCATTCTGACAGGGAGCGCGTGAAGAGTTGAGCCAGAATTTCGATGAGAACTGTGATACATTCTTCATATGTTTGGGCCTGATCCTTCGGGACGTACGACTTCCCCCGCCGATATAGCGTGTCGACTTCGGAAGGGTGAGGCCGAAGGAACTGGACGATAGCGGGTGGGCAAGGTTGACAGAGAGCTTCGGATGCAGTGATTGCTCCGTCCAGACGTTTAAGGCCGACCATCTTGTTTTTACGGTTGACCAGTTATGCGGATAATCTTGGAACCCTCCGGCTTCTTGGCGCAATCTGGAGAGTTAGACGAATCGATGTTCATGGCCATGTGTCTGTTGACCGGGACAGCCACACCTCCAACGCCTCTGCTGTCGCTTGTCCAAGGAGCTGTTCTTCTTCAGTTTCCTAGACGGCGATGCCTTCTCGTCTCGGTCAGTCCGATGACGTCGTACTCGATTTTCCTGGCTTGCACCATCAAATCTTCGATGTGACCTTCCGATGCGTCCTGCGTTGAAAGTACAGATCGTCATTTTGGTGGTGGGTAGCTTGTCTC